GTTAAAAATATAACAACGATTTGGTTTATATATGATTTGTTGTATACAGTAGTTTTAACCCTTCCCATTACTGTTATAATCAAATGGCATTTGGATCCCCTTTGGAGTTTGCAGCTTGTGTTGGTAGTAATTTAAATTTCTAAGTTCTGGTCTTCAGGAGTAGCATGAGGTCTCAGCAAACTGTGAATTCTGGTAGCAGTAATGTAAGGATGCTTGAATTTCTCCAAACCTTCAGCTTATATGAAGTCCTGTGTCAGGCAGGGGTGGGGTTGACTAGGGTCTGGGTTTGGTTACCTTCCATCCTTAGTATTAACCTTTTTCTAAAATTCCATATTTTCAAAATATCAAGTGATTTTTCTAAATTTAGGGGTTGTCCAGCTCCCTTTTGAGAGTGGTCAGAGAAATCAAGCTGACACTTAGCCCCAACACCCTTCATGTCTCATGTCACACCATCGCTCCATATAGGCGGTGCTAATCTCTCTCTCTCTCTCTCTCTCCCTTCTCACCCTTTCTCAGCCCACTCCAAGTGATGACACACCATCCCTGTGATAAATCTAAACTTTCAGAATGCGTAGGCAAAAAGGAATTTTCAGTCATTATTCTTTCTTCATCAGATTATCTCACGCTGTGGTTTCTTGATTGACCATACCACTCAGCTGGCTGCCTAGAGCTAGTAATTAATTTTTCTTTATCACTTATATCCAAAGGAATCTGAATTAATGTCAAATTTTTGACAAATGTCACAGAAATTAAAATGAACAAATCCACCAGGGACACTTTTCTTCTAGGTGGCCATTCAAACTAGATGTTTTTCCTGGCTTTTTGTCTAGAATGCTCTTCAAATGTTATTTTGGTGACCACCCAAGTTTCTTTATCAACAACATGTTTTTCTATTTGACATCTTTGAGGATACGTTAATTGTCTCTTTCTTATCAGCAGGAAGTGGGGGTGGATGAATAGACTTGGTTTTGCTCAATCTTAATGAATTCCGTTGAGTTAACTTTGGGTTCGATTCTCCTTGGAACTGTTTGGGAGTTCATTTATTATTATTATTTTTAAACATGATATTTCAACACATTTCATTTTAATTTTCTTCTCATCTTTTCAATCTATCTTCCTGCAAATTTCAACAATTATCATCCAGTTAGTAGACTCTTTCCTCTTCTTTTTTTTTCTGTTTATTTAACCTCCTGGGGTTCAAGTGTCACATGTATATATATGAGTATGAAGTGTTATATTTAATTAGAATTAAGTATTAATATTTTCTTAGAATTGATCCATTAAGTTAAGGTGGAGCTGAATTTTGATATTATTTATTCTGCAACCTTAAGTTATCTTACTTAATCCTCAGGGTTTCTTGCCATATTAGTTCTTTATGTTTGATAGGACATGTAAGAACTATACCTGCAATTATTTAACATGATCAATTTTTAGTTAATTAATATTTACCAATGAACAATAATTATTGTAATCTTTGTGATATAACAGCTACTAATATTAACCAAAAGCAACACTTTAAAAATAATTTCATTATGAATGAAATATCAATCTACTGTTTTTTGATTCCTCTTCTTTTATTGCTCTCACTCCTTAATAATATTTTTCTTTTTCATATTTTTTTTACATTCAGTAGCCCCTTGTGTCTTAGTGGCTTTATTGCCTTGCTTGGGGTGAAATGAATAAAAGAAAATTATCTCTATTCTGTGAGTAACATTTGCATTAATTTCTGACTACTGACAGTAATGCGTTCTAATAGTAAAATCATTTACAGTGCATTTCTATAGTATAAAATATAATTATAAATGAAGTAAGCTTTGAAAATGTGTCAAAAGTCAGCATATGAAAATCATATACAAACAGAAAGGTCTGTATGTTAGAGGTACAGGGTAACATGATATACAGGTTGAGATGGGTAAATTTTCACCATTTAATATTTTTAATTTTGTGTATGTGTGTTGTTTGTTTTTGAGATTGTTGACTGTGTAGTATAGTAGGGTCATTTAAGCACTATCTGTGAGAAAAAGAGCACAATGATGCAATTCACTCCACCAGGAAATTTGGAAATAGCATGCTATAATGCATGGCATTTGCACTGGAAGCTCCAATACAAACATATCAGAGTGTTTGGGTGTCAATCTGAGGACAGTGCAGAGGATGCTGTCTCACTAAAAGATGTACCAAGAATGATGGAAACCAAATATCCAGTCAACCTCATGGTGTTTGGAGTGATCACTAATGATGGTGATGTTATGCCTCCATTCATCTTCCAACAGGACCTCAGACTCAACACAGAGGCCTATATCCAGTGACTTGAAGAGGTAGTGTTACCCTGGATGAAGAAGGTGGCTTCTGAAAGATGCTATGTCTTGCAACAGGACTCTGCTCCATGCCACACAAGCAAGAGAACCCAGTCAAACATTTTCTGCAACCACATTACCCCTTACATCTGGCCACCTAACACCCCAGACTGCAGCCCCCTTCATTATTATGTGTGTGGCACAGTTGAGCAAAAGACCAACAAAAGTCCTTGTAATACCAAAGATGAACTGAAGGCAATGATTACGGCAGTATTCACCAACTTAAATAAGGAGACCATCCAGAAGAGTTGGATGAGATTCTGAAGGCGTCTGGAGCCCGTGGTTGAAGCCAATGGAGATTTTAATGAATAAATTTACTCTTAGTATTTCAAGATATTTTTATGTAATTTTGGTAAATATATTTCTTAAGTTAGATGTCGGTAATATTTTCATTTTTGTGTAATTTAGATCACAATTTATCTATTGGACCCTGAATATTTATTAAGTTATCTGAAGTGGTTCTGTGATCTTATAGTTATAACTTGATGATAACTCCCCTGAACTCTTTCTTTAAAAAGAGTTTTAAGTTGATTTTTCCCCTTTTTGTATATATAATCATGTCCCTATGTGTTTTTGATTTTAATTTTTTTTTAGATATATCTTTCTTATTATCCCTGTAAGTTTTATAAGAATCCATTCTGCAAACTTCAAATTCCACAAAGGAAGTTTGAGAGACTGTATTGTATACCTTTCTGTATTCCTATTGTCCTGACTGGTAGTTGCCAGAAGCAAATTCAGAACCATCTCACCAAACTCTCTCTCTCTCTCTCATACACACACACACTCTCTCTCTCTCTCACACACACACACACACACACATATATATAAAAACAGTGAGAGATTTATCCTTTGGCAAATGAAGACGGCAGATATATTTCCAGCTAATTTGCTTTATTCCTTATCTTGTGTCAAGTCAATGAAGCTAAATACAGATAATGTCTCTTGTTTTGTTCTGTGGATATAATTGAAACATTTATCAACATTAAGTAAGAAAAACAAGAGTTTGTAATTGTGTAGGTGGCTCACTATGCTTGATGCCCTTGGGGTTTGTTTATTTGCTTGAGACATGACAGGAAGTAACCTGCATGGTAGTTGAGATAATTGCATGTTTCCTACAAGTGCCTTAGTTGAGGCTTAAGCCCTGCCAATATTGAAAACTGATTTTAAAGGCAGAGAGTTCTTAGCTAATTGGAAGATTAGTATAATATAATTTCTCTACCTCTATTTCAACTTAAGTCAGATTAAACTAAACTTAATAAATAGTTCTGCATATAAATGATGGTCTTGTGCTTAGTGTCTAAGGTAGTTGTGTATTTTCCACTAGTGATAGTGATGAATGTTCAGTCCAAGGTAGAAACCAGGATTCCAAATGCTGATTTTTCAAGGTATACCTGCCCTTACTGGAAGTCAATCATAACACAAGCCTTCTGTTTGGTGCCTACTGCCAGACCATCTTAAATTAAGTAGATATTTACTCATTGATAAAAATATAGAGAAAACATGGATAAAGAAAGAGAGAAAAGTCAACAAAAAGTGTAGTAAAAAGAAAGAAAAAGAGTGAAAAATCTGAGCGACAAAGATTGAGAGGGGAAAAAAGATTGGAGAGAGAAATAGAGAAAGACAGATGAATATAATCTGAAAAGAGAAGTGGAAATAAACAGAGGAGGAATGAAAAAATATTACTAAAGTAAGCAAAGTGAATTTTTGAAAGAAAAGAGAAAAGCTATACAAAGAGGAGTGACTTAGAAAACTACCACTGTTTAAAAATCTTTGCCAAAACAGATTCATTTGACAAGTGTCTTACATTTCCAATTTGCTTTTAAACTAGTTTTCAGTATTTGTTGGAGAAGAAAAAAAACAGAAGTCTTGTTTCTTTTAGAAACACCTTTCTGTAAATTTTAAACTGTGGGCAAAGTCGATTGTAAATGCTGCTAAAACAAGCATGTTTTACTTACTTTGTCTCTCATGTCTTCTTTTTATTATTTGCATGTATGAGTGGGTGCTGAAAAGTTTTTGGTGCAATCTAAAATCTTACCAAATGGCAATTTTCTTCTTTTTGTAATAGCTCATACAAATAAATACTGTGTATCAAATAACAAGATACCTTCCTATTTTACATTCTTATTTACTTGATTTCTTTATAGCACATATTTATATACAGTTAGAAAGGAGTGAAAACACAATTTTGTCTAAGTAATCTAGATAAAATGTAAACCTTTTCAGATTAATTAACTTTGTAAAATAATATTACATCTGCGCCTTTCACATATAGAAGGTTACAGATTATCATCTTTGTTTGTGTCTAATGGGAACTTGACTGTAATGCAACTCTTTATCTGTAAGTCTAATTAGAAACTTTTCTGTAATCTCCTTATTCCACAATGTAAGTTTGAAGCCCTTGTATATATTTCTATTAAACTGACTAGTAAATTTAGAGTTTTTCAACAATGACAATTTGTCCTGAGTTTGAACATACATGATTTGTAAAACATATAGATACATTGAGAGAAATAGTCTTTCTTAGCATATTACAGTAATCTCATGAATCCCATATTTTTGTATGTTAAAAAAAAAAAAAAAGAAAATGCAATATTTTCCTTTTCTATATCATGCAACAGACACTTTACTATGCATGGAAGAAACTTACGGCCATATCATATTGAAACACCAGTTTTCATACAATAACCAAAGTTAAACAACATTGAGCCCGGTCAGTACCTAGATGAATGACTGCTTGGGAATACCAGGTGCTGTAAGCATGGATGTGCAAGTGATGTAATGACTTGGAATTGTTAATTGGGAAGCTGAGTTCCAATTCTAGTCAGATTTGGTATATTCCCTTATGTACAAATACTCTTGGGAAAGGTATGAATCCATTTCTTCTTCTCCCAACTATCGGTTAATTAGTAAGCCTTGTATGACTAAAATCATTATCATCTCTAAAAATATTCCTACAAATTAAAAGAATATTTTCTGGTTTTAAATAACCGGCAAAAGGTTGATAAGCTGTAGAAAACAAATCAGTTGAATTATGCATTGCAAGATATGAAATTATCAGTTCTTAATTTGTAACGGACATCATCTTAGATGATAATTTTAGAAATCAGTATGAATTCAGATATCTTGTGTTGCTTAAGGGGGCAAAAATGAAGATTTGTGCCAACTGAATTAATGTGGTGGTTATTTATTACAAATTAATATTGTAAGAAATTCAAGCAAATCAAAAGCAGTCATATATGCATGTTGTCTTTTTATGAAAGAAGCTGTTTAAAAATGTTATTACTGTACGTAGCAGTTGCTTCAGTGATACAAATAATTAAACTTGCCAAAATATTACACTTGTGTGTAATGCAAACCCTGTTTGGGCATTCAGTTCTGAATTAAAATTCTTACATTAATGAATACAATATATTTATATAATCAAATATTGTTCTTTTCTCATGGAGGTTATGCACTACTGCTTGAATGCAATAGGAAATTATCTTAAAATCATGGTTTAGAAGCTAATTTCACAGGCAACTTACTAGTGTTGTAAGTTCAGTCCTCATGAGATATCCCATGAAGATCAAATGTGTGTTTTCTGTAAAGTACTGCCTGTTTGCTAACAGATGAATACTTCAATATGAATTCATTTTATATATATATATATATATATATATATATATATATATATATATAACACACACATATATGTACACACACACAGACACACCAGTTTCATTGAAAATGGACATTGCACTGCAATTAAGCTTTTTCAGAAGAACATGTACCTATGCGTTATAGACTACGTAAAAGTGTTTGACAAAGTATGCCACAAAGATCTGTTGGAACTGCTCAGCAATATTGATATATTTGGGAAAGATATTAGAATAATCAAGAACCTATACTGGAAGCAAATGGCCTGCATGCACATAGAGAATGCGTTCAGCAGAATACAAAAATAGAAAGACAAGGATGTGTCTTCTCACCGGACTTATTCAACCTATACAGCAAGGAAAATTTAAGAGAATTACAAGTCCTACCAGGATTTGTCATTGGCAGCCACAATCTTAACAACATAAGATATGCAGATGACACAGTATTTGATAACAGACACAGAAAAGAAATTATGAAACCTCCTTCAGAAGGTAGCGAAGGAGAGCGAGAAGAAGGGACTAAGCATAAACTACAAGGAGACAGAATGCATGGTCATCAGTAAAAATGCAATTTACAGGTCGGGAACACTAAAATCAAGCAGGTGTGGAAATTTAAATATCTGGGATGTGTTTTGACAGAGGACGGCAAGTGTGACACTGAGATCCAAAGACATATTGGGATGACCATTCCAAAAGCTAGACAGAATATTATGAGACAGGAGTATTTCTTTGCTAACAAAGAAAAGAGTACTGAACCCGCTATGTGATATCTGTCTTCCTTTACGGCATCAGATATTGAACGGTCTCCTCAAGGATGAAGAAAAGAATCTAGGCATCAGTGGTATGGTTCTACAGAAGGATGCTAAGGATACCATGGATCGAGTGTGTGAGCAACATTGAGGTTTTGGAGAGGATGCAAACAAGGAAGAAGCTTATACTTAACATCAGGAAGAAGCAGCTGAAATTTCTGGGATACATAATGAGAAAGAAGTGCTTGGAGAATCTGATACTTGCAGGTTAAATAGAGGGAAAGAGAGACAAAGGAAAGCAACCCATGACATACCTAGTGATTTCTTTCTTGACATATAGTGTGTAAAAACTGTCCAAATGATCTGTTGATCCGAGTGCTTTCAGCTAATCTATTAATCATTATAAAGGATATTTTTTTTGTTTAACTGAATATGCAGATATATATATAAGGATGGGAATGTTTTGTAATTTCTGAACACAGCATGTATTCAGTTAAACAAAAATAATGGCTAATAGATTAGTTGAAAGTGCTTAAATCAAAAAATCACTTGGACAGTTTGACACACTCTATTTTCAGAAAAGAAATGACTTGTACAGATGCAAGAAAAATTTAATAAAAAGCTCAATCACAGTGCCTTGTCAGTCATTTTCAATGAAACTTGTACATAATTTTATATATATATATATATAATGTTTCATTAAATAATATAGACAAGTTTTCTCTTTTTATTTTAAGTAAGTTCCTTTCATATTGTCTGATAAGCTTAATAACATTATCATTGAAAGACAAAAGGAAATCACCATACTGATACATGTTTAAATCCAATCTAAGCTTTCGGCTTACATAAGCCATTATCAAAGATGACAATTACTTTGCAATATATCAACCAGTACACGGATGAAACCATAATGATAGTCTGTTTTCGCTGCATGAAAACTTCAAAGCAACAACTAACTCGTGTATACAAGACGCGAAAGTGAAAATCATGTCGCAGCTCGTGACGTCACACATGACCACGTGAGAGTAAAAACAAGAAGTATTAAGTATGGGAAGCCGTTGGTATAAACCAATGGCTTCTGTTATCAACTATAGGCATTTAAGAATATTTGTAGAGATTTCGTAGTTTATTTTGTTCAGGTTAGATTTTAACTGTTTTATGTATATAGCTTGAGGAATTTTTAGATTTTGTTTATTGTTTTCATGTTTAAGTATAGTTGTGTTTTCAACAAGGATTTTCCGGAATTGTGTACGTGGCCAGGCATGTTGTTTTAAATGCCTAAAAATGTTAGAGTTATCATTCAAATGTAGAGTTAAGCATCATGAAACAAGTTTGTGGTGTGACCAACATAAATATTATTTAATTCATTGGAGATACAATCTCCCAAAGGGCACTTGAATTTGTAAACTATGTTGGTTTTTTGCAAATCGCTAACTGGGAGGGGGGAAGAATCATTGCAAATAATTGAGTTGGCTGTACTAGATTTAGTCTAGTATATGATTAACCTAATTTTTTTGCTAGGATCTGTTGTAGATATATTAGTATTTACTAATTTTTTTAGTATATTTTCATCTTGTTTATAATTAGTATGCATTTGACTACAATATAAAAGATTAATATGTTTGGAATTAGTTGAAGCAGTATTATGTTCTATTTGCTTAGTATTAAGACTTCTAACAAAGCATTTTAATTGTTAATCAACTATATAGTTTGGAAAGCTATTATTAATAAGTGTTTGTTTTATGTTCTTTAGGTCACTGTAAAAATCTGTTTTGTAGACGAATTAGTTTCTTCACGATGTATTAGATTTTTTATAATTGCTATTTTGTATTAATATGGACGTAGTTAAGTGTACATGAATTTATGCTGGTAGGTTTTTTTGTATGGCAAAATAGTAAATTTGTTATTTGTGTTTATCAATATGTCAAGGAAGGGAATTTTATTATTACTTAAAATAAATAGACAAAACTTCTCTATATTATTTATGAAACATGTATCAATGAAAAATTGCTGCCTAAATATACACAATATATATATATATATATATAGAGAGAGAGAGATAAAAGGAAATCTTATAGCTGATACATTTTGTTCTTTGAGGGACTTTATCAAGGCAAATGTAAGCATTTTATTTTGTGACAAGTATTTATATACAAGAGCAAAAATGTTATTGATTTTTTTCAAAGGTTTTAGATATAGGAGTGCTCATGAATCCAGAGTGCAATACATTGGGGGAAACTAGCAAAAATTTTAAAAAATGGTATTTTATATCAATATATTTTGATCTTGCTGTAAATGTTTTTTTGCAAGAATTAAATCACCTTGCATGTCACAATACATATTGACAGTTGAACAACTCAGGCTTCATCATGCTTCTTAGTAATTGAATTAAGAACATTGGCTTATATATTGCAGCTGCTAAATCCCTGTATTCCACCTCACATGTGGATAGCACAATAGTTTGCTGTTTTCTTCTTTTCCAACATATCACAGATGTGAAGAGATGGGCATTGATCATTTAAGCATTCCAAACCATATTGCAAATGAATTTATAATAGAAAACAACAGTTCTGCTTCCCCCCCCAGGCTAATGTACTGATGATAGGTTTATTGGGGGGGGTATGCTGATGTTGTAGGTATTCATAGTTGGAATAAGAATGATCTCGAACAGAAAATCAACAACCTCTTCCAAGTGTTCCAAGAAATACAGGACAGAAGATAAACCTTTCCAAAACAAAAACTATTATCTGGAATTGGAATGGAAGCAGTAGTGTCACCTACCCTGAATCTATCATAAAAATTCAGGATGTAGAATTAGTAAATACTAAATACTTCAGATACCTCAATGTATGGATCAGCTATAAAAAATTACATATAGGAGAAAATGAAATTGAAAAGAAATAGCTCTGCCAACACCACAAATTGCTACTAAGCCAAAACATCAGCCTGAAAACTCAAGTCATATTCTTAAATAGTCTCATCAGATCAAGACTTTCATATAGATGTCATGCATGTCACCAAATCTGTTCAGTAGTATCTAAACTGTCAGCTGTATATAACCGCTTCCTAAGATTGATGATAAAAAAACGGTTTTGAGCAAGTAAATCCTGTGGGTCTTTGCAAAAGTCATCATTCTTTGAACTTTGTGAACTGGTGCTACAGAATCACAAACAAAGACCTGTACCAGATAACAGAAACCGCATCACTTGAAGACTTTCAACAACAGCAACAACTGAATATCATATGTAGCTCAAAGAGAAAATAATGACATAATTAAGATATTGACATTCCACTCTTTCAAATAAAAGGTGAAGAAAGAAATCTCTATCAATACTGGAAAGAGCAATAATAGCTACTGGACTTGAGAAACTTA